TTTATAGGTTTTCAAATTAATTATATTTATTATTTATTTATTTATTTTTTTTATCGTTTTGTGAGTGTAGCTACATATTTTAATAATCATAATCTCAATTTAAATATGTAAATGGTTATTAATTTGTTTAACGAAATTCAGCCGAGCGCTTAATTTAATACTTTAACTTAAAGTTATTTTGGGAATTATTAATAGATTTTTATTTCATTTTAAAATTAAAGAATGAAGTTATAAGCATTATAATAAAATAGATTTAGTAAAACTAGTTTGCGTTAAATAGAATTTAATTGTAGTTGATATTAGGTTTTTCGAAAGGGCCATTTCGCTAAGTGCAGCGATTATAACTAGTCAATATCGTGATTGATGAGCTGGGGTGTGGTGCTGGTCGATGCCGTCTGTCCGGTAGAGGTTACTGTTTGTTTGTCGTACGCAGCATCCGCAGCAGCAGAAACGGCAGCAGCAGTAGCAGCAGCAGCTGTTGGTGTTGATCGTGTCCGGCAGGTCTTGCTGCACAAAATTTCCATATTATTTCTAAGATGCAAACCTAACGAAGATACTAAGGCTGAAGCTGGAACTACATACATAAGTGAAGAATGTTTTTGGGCGAGCTGGTTTCACTTGTTTACATCGCCAACATCAACAGCCCAACAACAGCCCGGCCAGTCAGCCAGCCACAAGTTGCCTTCATTTAAATCAAGCCAAAGAGAGCAAGAGAAACTGAGAGCCAGATCAAGTAATGCAGAGAGAGAGGGAGAGTGAGAGAGCGTAAAAGAAATGCCGGCTACCTGTTGCTCTGTGCTGCTTACCCCAGCTCGGCTCATTAAGCTCCAAGACGCTGAGCTTTGACGCTCACGACGCAAAGTTTTGAGCTTGTAATGCGGATCGTGCGAGTTTGTAGCTTTAGTCGACTTTCAGACGTGACGGCGTTCGCACTCTCTCGTTCGCTCTCTTTCGCTTTAACGTGTGTGTGCGTGTGTGTGTGTGTGCGCGCGCGCGTTTAAGATGCGCGATTTGTTATAGAAAATTGACAACGATTAATATATATATATGCAAATAAATAAATATATATATACATACGAACTGGTCAGCTCAGCTGCTAACCCTAACTCGCTTGCATTTGCATTGCAATTAGGAAATCAATATTGCATCTCTCTCGCACTCTCTCGAATATTTGCGATCAATCGCCAACGACCATCGGCACGTCCACTCAACTGCACTCAACCCACACACATAGAAAAAGAAGAAAAAAAATAAAATAACAAAATTAGAAAAAAATTAGAAAAAAAAAACAAACGACTTTGTGCGCAGTGCAAAAAGCAAAATCGTGATAAATTTTCGCTGAAATTGTGCAAACGATTTTTTGGTAAAGAAAAAAACAAACATTTAACAACGACTGCATCTGTATGAGTGTGTGTGTGTGTGCAGGTGTCTCTCATCTGTGTGTGTGTGTGTGTGACTAATTAAGAATTTGATGTGCATTTGCAAAGCGATTTCAAAAGAAGATCGAACTACACTCGCCTCAACAAGTGTAACAATTTGTTTATTCATCATCAGCAACAACAAACAACAGCAACTCAAATAACAACACCAAACGAGAACAACAATAACACCAACAACAACAACAACAACTAGTGTAATTAGAACTGCGCAAAACGCTTTGAGCCGCAATTTGATGAGGTGAGTCGCTTCGCTGCAATGGAATTGTAAATACAATTGTCACAAATACTATTTAACGTGGGCTTTCCAAGGCATCCAAATGAACTATAGTAGAGCTACGCTAAACACGACTTGCCAACAATAAATTTTCTGACTCTGTAACGCTTGTAACCAATTGAAACTATTAAAACAAAATCTAATCGTAGCTATACTAAATATTTAAAAATATAAAACAAAAACCAAATAACTTTATAAAAAACCCAGAGATTATTTTTTCCTCTTCTGAATAATTCTGATCGCTTTTTCGCCCAAAAACTTATCTAAAATCTTGATTTTTTATGACACTAGAATATTCTTAAAGTTTGTTCCAATTACACAGATACGAGCTCTGGATGTGTGTGTGTGTGTTAGAGTGAGTGTGCGTGTGTGGGTGGCTGGATGTACATAGCTACACTTGTCGAAAAGGCCAAGCAAACTCTGCAATTGGAAACATTTCTGCTCTGCGCCTGACTGGAATTCCAATAAGCATTCCAATAAGAACGAGTGCTGCTTATTGCAGGAGTTTAAATTCTTGATATGTATTTTAAGATATGCAGGAAATTTGATTAGCATACAGTTTCTTCGAGGAGGCATTCCATTATGACAGCTCTTATATGTTTAAATTAAAAATGCAAACAAAAGAGTTATACATAAATAAAAATAAAAAAGGAACGTATTAAGTTTGCGAAAATTTGATTGATTGTCGATTTTTATCAGCTGGCCCCTTACAAAAAAATGTTATTTCAATTTGAAAAAGACATAATTTTAGCTCGTATAAATTAAAATTATTTTAAAATCCTTACATTATAAAAATAAATAAAAATTATTTAAAAATGCTTTCATTATACAAAAAAAAATAGTTTTAATAATTTTTAAACTTATTTAAATTTGTTAATTAAATAATATTTTTATTATTTTTTATTTGCATTATATACATACATATATATGTATATATATTATTTTTTTTTTTTAATTTCTTTTTATTTTGGTAACAAGAAAAATAATAAATATAACCATTTTGTAAGTATAATTATAAAAATTTTTTTACTTTTATCAAAAGTGTAGACAAAATTAAATTCCCATAAAAATGTCTAAAATCTATTGGGAATTTTGTTTTTTTATAAATTTCTATGATTGCTGATATCAGTTAAAGTTTGCTTTTAAATCTAACCTTAAGCAAATTAGAATTTTCAAATATATGCTGCTTTCGCTTAGTGTATTCGCAGCCAACGCATTGTTATGAGTAGTAGACACACGTTTCTGACTCATTTGGCAATTGTTGAAATAAAAACAGCCAGCTGATTAATAGTTCTAAACACATTTGCCCTAAATGGAGCACAAATAAATTGAACTGTTATTCCTTTGGCCTAGCACTCTTTGCTCTTGGCTTAAAGTAATTCATAGCTCAAAGAGCCAAGACTTTCTTTCGATTTCAACACAAAATCTATTGGCAATTTATTTTAGGTAAGTTCATAAATATGCGACCTCTCTAAGCTGTCGACTTGGAGCTATTTGTTGGGTGTGTGTGTGTATGTGTGTGTGTGTGGTGCGGCGATCGCTTTGAATTTCGGATGCAAATTAATAACCAATTATAATGTGAATAAAAAATCTTTGTTATCATTATGATGTTTCTCGTGCTTGGCCGAATGATCATTCCGATGATAATTCCAGAGAGAGAGAGAGGAAACTCTCGTCTCACGTCGCACACGAAACGGAAATAGAATTCTGAAGGTCTTACAATGCAATCTATAAATTTTTAATGTGAGTTTCGATATTTCTTTACAGCTGTAAACTTTTTTGAAGTGAAAGTTGCAAAGACTAAGTCTTTCTAAGGGCATGGGCGTGTTTTGATGCTCGCTCAACGAGTGAAAAGAGTTGATGAGTCCATTAGATCGTGTTGTATGCTCTTTTATAGAAGTCCTAACAGAATTTGAAGCTTAATGGAGGTAGTCGAAACAGGAAATAGATGATATGCCCTTTTAAAGAGCATTGTCGTGCTTTGATGCTCGTTCATTGAGTGAAAAGAGTTGCTTGGGTTTGGATTGAGTTAATTCTTTTAGATCTCCGCGGTTCTTTAATAAAACTTCAGGAAACATGATATAAATATTAAATATTTAACTTAGCAACGCATGGCACATTTAAAAGCCAGTTCTACAGCTTAACAAAATATTCAATTATTGACTTTTCGTCTAAGTTGATCAAGAATTATGCAGTCAGATCCGCCCAACCTCAAAGTTCTTAAATGTTTCTTTTATTCATATTCATTTCCACCATAAAAAATTAGTCTATGCTGCCATTATCGGCTCGCATTTCTGAGAGTTCTAAGAGCATCACATCAAATTAGCATTGCAAATGTGATTAAAAATCAGAATTAAAAAAAAAAAGATCTCACTTTAAATATCACATAAATTTGCGACTTTAAATTCGATTAGGAATATTTTATTTATTTATGTATTTTAGCCAAAAGCGCAAATATTTTGTGAAAAAAAAGGGGAATATACAAATGTAATTATAGAAAACTTTATCTAAACGATCTAGAACTCTTTGGGAGATTTCTCCATTTTTGATTTACAGCCTCAACGATTTATATTTATTAGCTCTACGAGAAAGTTGACGTAAACGATAAATTGTAAATTTGTGCAAGGAAAATTATTATATTTCTCATGATGGAAATTGATAGAAAACAGAAGCCAACGAAATTCCAAATGTTGTGCAATAACGTGAACTGGTTCCTCGATCTGCCAGCTGTGCAGAATACCAAAGTCGTAATTGTTGTGCTCTTGGATTTGTTGACCCTATCGAGCCTATGTCCAGCTTACTCCAATTATATAGCTCGCCCGTTTATACTATGGAAATATTAAGCAAGGATAAAGCGTATATATAGGTGTATATATATACATACTTACATATACATATGTACATAAACATTTTATCGCTGCGTTCTGTATGTGGGCGCATTTTGAACTTGTTTCCAAACGATCTTCACCTTCAGTTCAATGCCAATGCCAATGACGTCATGCTGCGGACTGCATGTAAGTAGCGCATGTGTGTGTGTGTGTGTGTAGGTGTCTTCGAACTGGCTAAAATCCTCTTCTCTTTTAACTCCGCAGCTCCGTTCGTTTCTTTTGGCCTGTTTGCTTCAAATGCTTTGCCAAAAAAAAAAAAATTAAATCGACGCACAAAATTTTGTATATTTTTTTTTTCGTTTTTTCTTCGTGCTCATTAAAACTTTCGAAAGTTGCGCCGTCTTTTGTGTCTGGAAATAAACGTCAATTTAAAAAGGAACCTGTGCAACAGCGAAACACACACACACACACGCACAACAAATTGAAAATTCTCGAATAAACAGCTTTGTGTTGATGTTGCCAAAAATGGTGTAGAGCCTTGCCTTGTACGCAGTCCTACGGCTGGTTTCGTTTTTTCTCTCTGTTTTGGAAGCTGTGTTGCATGATTTTGTTTTTTTTTTTTTTTATCTGGCTGCCGTTTTTGGTGTGCATGCGTCAAGGATGATTTGTTTTAATGCAAAAGGCAGCAGCAGCGACTTTAAAATTTCATTTGTGATTTTTTCTCTGATATTTTATTATTTTTATTACTTTTATTTTGTTTGCTTCCTGCCCCGTGCCTTTTTGACTCACTGTACGTGAATTGACTGTCGGCCATTTAGCACCTACGAAATATATATATTTATGTGTGTGTGTGTGTGTTGTTTATCGTCTTCAACAAATGTGCCGCAGGGTGATTAACACTGTTCGAACTAAATACACTTGAAAAGTCTTAGCCATGCAATTGTATAGCTCTTTGAGAGTTGCGACTGCAAAGCAGAAACAAATATAAACAAATTGGCAATGCTGACTGGCTTTTAGAGTCTTGTAAATACACATGTGTGTATAGGCTGCTAATGAATGCGCCTTCCCCACTGACTGACTGACTGAGCGAGTGAGTGACCTTACCTAATACCAGTCGAACGCCACCCGGCGCATCGGGTCAACAAAAGCGGGCAACATTCACTTTCGCATGGTGCACCTTTAATTGCCCACGGGGCACAAAACATCAAACACAAGACCAAAATCGAAATCAAAGAGGGGGAATGAATGGAAGGAGTGTGAACGAGGGGATACCCTGGAATAATATGATGGCTTGAAATTTAGAATGATTTCATAGACTAGACTGAATATAGACCTATTTTATAGGTAGTACCATAGTTAGACGCGTATTTATGCGTACTATCGATTTGCATTCAAAAATAGTCATGGAGTTATAAGGTTTTGGAGGAATGCACAAGACA